TGGCTGGATAGGCTGGGACATTTTTCACTAGAGCATAGGAGGTTGAGACACGACTTTATACAAGTTTTTAAAATAATGAGGGGTATAGATAGAATTAATGGTAGTTGTCTTTTCCCTAGGATGGGGGATTTCAACACTGGGAGCATTTTTTTTGAGATGAGAGAGATTTAAAAAAGATGTGAGGAGCAAATATTTTACACAGAAGGGTGGTTCGTGAGTAGAATGAACTTCCTGAGGAAGTGGTGGATGTGGGTAGAATTACATTTAAAAGATATTTGAAGAAGTAAATGAATAGGAAAGGTTTGGAGGGATATGGGCCAGGAGCAGGCAGGTGGGACAAATTTACTTTGGGATTATGTTTGGCATGGGCTGGTTGGACTGAAGGGTCTGTTTCTGTGCTGCATGACTCCATGACCAAGTCACCTCTTTATTTACATATGAACAGTCCTTGACTATAATATTGCCTTATACAGAGTCAGGCACCAGAGTCAGTGTCTCTGACACTCACCCCTTTTATATATCAGCCAGGGCTCCCTGTTTGGATCAGATTAACAGCCCCAATCAGGGAATTTATATTCTATGATGTCTAGCTGGCTGACCTCATTACAATCACTGCACGTTCCTTTCCCTGACAACTGTCTGAGACTAAACAAGATTGTTTGCAACTTCCGGCATCACAATTGAGCTTTCAAACACATACATTCCATCCTTAGAAACACCCTTTTCCACCTCAATAATACTGTTCAATTCCTTAGCTCAATTACTGCTGAAACACTTATCCTCACCTTTGTAGCCTCTCAACTTGCTATTAAACCATGGCCTCCTCTGAATGGCAGCACCGAAAGCACATAGCCTGGCTGGACTTGGTAGCACCGAGGAAGTGCTACATTGCTTGATATCTTCTGGAGGAGATATCAAACTGAAACAAGATACCAAAACTAAAACCAAAAGATCCTGTCGTACTTTTTCAAAAACAAAAGCAGGCAAGATTCCTAGACAACAAGGTGCAGGGCTGGATGAACACAGCAGGCCAAGCAGCATCATAGGAAGGGTCTAGGCCCGAAACGTCAGCCTCTCTGCTCCTATGATGCTGCTTGGCCTGCTGTGTTCATTCAGCCCTGCACCTTGTTGTCTCGGATTCTCCAGCATCTGCAGTTCCTACTATCTCTCAGGCAAGATTCCTGGTGTCCTGGTCAACATTTTCCCTGCAAACAATATAAATAATGTATATAGATAAGTGAGGAGTTTCTCCTGAAGATCATGGAATTTTAAACCTGAGTTATGTCCACAACTACCTCATAATGTTTCACGGTTGCATGTAAAGAAAGTACATGACACCGTGTCAAACAGCAACTTGGAGAATGCTTTCATCTACAACAATTAACAAAAATCATCTGGTCATTATCAAACAGCTGTTTTAAAGGACTTTAAGGAAAATTCCTTTATTATAATAGTAATCACACTTCAAAAAATATTATGATCTGGCAAAACCACACTTTAGGACATGAAGTCATGAAAAGCACTTTGTAAATGCAAGATAACAAGGTGTAGAGCTGGATGAACACAGCAGGCCAAGCAGCATCAGAGGAGCAGGAAGGCTGACATTTCGGGCCTAGACCCTTCTTCTTCAGAAGAAAAGCAAATTGTGCAGAGCAAATTGGCAAAGCAAATTGTGCAGAGGACTGTGAAACTTTGCAGAGGAACATAGATACATTGAGTGAGTGGGCAAAGGTCTGGCAGATGGAATACAATGTAAATAAATGTGAAGTCATACATTTTAGTAGGAGTAATAGTAAAAAGGATTATTACTTGAATGGTAAAAAGTTCCAGCATGCTGCTATGCAGAGGGACCTGAGTGTCCTTGTGCATGAATCATAGAAGGTAGGTCTGCAGGTACAACAAGTAATTAGGAAGGCAAATGGAATTTTGTCCTTCATTGCTAAAGGGATTGAAATAAAAAGCAGAGAGGTTATGTTGCAGCTGTACAAGGTGCTGGTGAGGCCACACCTGGAGTACTGTGTGCAGTTTTGGTCTCCTTACTTGAGAAAGGATGTATTGGCACTGGAGGGGGTTCAAAGGAGGTTCACTAGGTTGATTCCGGAGTTGAGGGGGTTGGCTTATGAGGAGAGACTGAGTAGATTGGGATTATATTCATTGGAATTCAGAAGATTGAGGGGGCATCTTATAGAAACATATAAAATTATGAAGGGAATAGATAAAAGTAGAGAGGATGTTTCCACTGGCAGGTGAAGCTAGGACAAGAGGGCATAGCCTCAAGATTAGAGGGAGCAGATTTAGGACTGAACTGAGAAGGAATTTCTTCACCCAGAGGGTTGTTAATCTATGGAATTCCTTGCCCAGTGAAGTAGTTGACGCTACTTCAGTAAATGTTTTTAAAAAAAAGGTAGATTTTTTTTAACAATAAAGGAATTAAGGGATACGGTGAGAATGCGGGTAAGTGGATCTGAGTCCACAAAAGGATCAGCCATGATCTTATTGAATGGCGGAGCAGGCTCGAAGGGCCAAACGGCCTACTCCTGCTCCTAGTTCTTATGTTCTTATGTACTTGCTGAGTATCCATACACCCTATCTCCTGCCAGTCAAAATTTATGTCCAAGTCAATAATTTGCCACAATTCCTTGAGCATCAGTTTTAGCTAATGGTTACTTGAAGGATTTTACCAAATTCCTTGGAAGTTCATATAAAAAATATCATGGGCATTTCACTAAACATTACATCAGTTGCCACTTCAAAAAAAATTGCAAATCAGATCCATCGAGCCTGGCCTACCCTTTACAAATACATGCTGACTCTCTGGTCAGCTTAAAATTTTCAAGGTCTGGTCAAATACCCTTAATTATAGACTAAGAATTTCGTGACAACAGATGTTAAAGTAATTGGATAAAAAGTTTGTAGTTTCCCTCTATTATCTTTCTTAAAAAGTGGACTGATCTTGTACAATTATCTAATCAAATATATTCATAGATTTTATCATCATATTTTAAATTCCAGGAACTCTTGTCCGTAAGCAAAATAATTTCTATTATCTTTATCACTCTCTGTACTCTGACCTTCGCTCTTATCCTTTCTGTTTCTTATCTTTAAGTTTCTTTTGCTTCTAGTATTATTTCCACTGTTACTTCTATTAAACCTACTACCCTCTTTATTGATTTAAAGTTCTTTCTACAGTTCTATTTATTCTTTCTGTTAGAGTGTTAGTCACAGCCTCCCTCAGATACAGACCCTTCCAGGCATACACCTCCTGCTATCCCCGTTGCGGAGCCAGTGTGATTAATTAACCAAATAATTAACCTTTCCTAGCTACAGCAATCTTTACACTTCGTATTGAGCTTTTAAATCAGATTTGATGATCAGAGTACATGTGTTATGTAATAGTTGAGTGAGTATGATCATAAAGGTCATGCTTGGCTTAGCTCCTGATACATATTCATAGGAACCTTGGTCCCTGTTCCTTCTGATGCCATTAGTTTTGACATGGCTCATACCATGACATTTGCTTCTGACATTTGATCCTTTCCAGCTTCCTTTGAGATATCCTTTACCCCCAGCATTGATTATGCTACAGATCCTCTTGTCTCTCAATTGCAACTGCAGAATAGATCTCTATCTTCCAATTAGCATTATTCCATGTCCTCCTTTAATGCTTAAATTCTCCTTCTTGTTGTTTGTGAAGGCAAGAAATCCTGAATTTCACCCGTTGTATTTATAGGCGGGAAGGTTTTGTGGCATAGAGTGCAGTGTGCCCCCTGAGCCAGAAGTTCCAGTTCAAATCCCACTCCAGTACCAGATAGTTATGGAAGGAACATTCACAGTGTGGTCAAACAGGTTGATTAACAACTCGTACGGCAACTGGTAAGGCTGGAAGACCCCCCTCCTCAGCAATGCTTCATGTGGAATGGTTCCCTCAAGCTTCTGGCAACTTAATCCAGAAAAAGATGCTACAGAAACAAGCTTTGTCTGCTTCCTGCATCTCTAAGTGTGGGAAGAGAATAAAGCAGTAGTAGTGGCAAAAAATACTTCTAATAGCAGCTAGGTTCAGTGAGGGTCTCATGGGAGGGTCAGTGAGTGTCAGATGAGATTGAGGTTTTTGGTACCATGGGACTGAAAAATGTAACAAATTTAGAAATTGGGGCACAAGTGCAAAGCTGAGTTTGCGTTGACTTTTTTTCTTGTTCAAAGATACATATATCAAGCCCTGGCAATTGCTGCTTTGTTTTGGTTAGGAAAGATGAATATTCAATATTGAAAATCAGTATCTGAGCCAAACAGTCATGCATAAGTCCCTCCCAAATGCTGACTAAGGCTCCTTCAACAGCATTTTCCAAACCTTGACTTCAAGCATCAAGAAGAACAAAGGTGGTGCATACGTGCCAACACAACCTCATGCAAGTTCACCTCCAAGCCATTCATCATCCTGATCGCTCTTCCTTCAATGTTGCTGGTCAAAATCCTGGAACCCCCTTCCTAATAACTTCTTAATAACACCTCAAGAACTGCAGTGGTTCAAGATGGTAGTTCATTGGTACTTTCTCAAGGGCAATTAGAGATGAGCAACCAATGCTGTCCAGCAACTTCAGATTCCAAGAACTAATAAATAAATAAAGTGGGAGTGTGCTACTGAACCGAACAATCATCGAGATATAATAAAGCTAAATCCTGCCAGCCTTCGGTAGTTAAATATCAGTAAAATAACTTCAATAATATGGCATAACTTTGGAGTACATCATCGTCTATTTCAAGAACGAAAGAAATGTGAACAATCTGTAAAATTTCAGCCCTTGAGGTCTTGTTCCAACCCTAACAAAAAAAAATCCAAACACTAAGCAGATTTCGAGGTTAATTGGATACAAAATTTTAAACTGCGGGCATCCAGACGATTTGATATTTTGACTCACTGGCTCAGAATGCAGGGAACCATTGGTCAACTGTTGCCAATGGCAGTGTATTGATACTTTAATTCCCTGAGGCTCCGCCTTCTGGCCCTCCCTGAAATTTTCCAGGCTCCTTATAAATTTTCCTGCAGTTTCAACTTCACTTTTGTTTCTTTGGTTTGATCAAATGTTTGTTTGGTTTCTTTAAAAAAAAGTAAGCAGTGAAGATGAATCAGACACAGTTCCAGGAACCGGAGACGTTAGAGGATCTGATTAAACAACTTCATGAGATCTTCTCTGGCGATAAAATCAACGTGGAAGAAGTGCAAACGCTGATGGAATCTTATAAAAGTAACCCGGCGGACTGGAGTAAATTCGCTAAATTCGACAAATACAGGTAATCATTTAAATCCTCAGCCGTGAAGTCAGCAGGACAGATGGCAAGCTGCTTGTGGAAACCGGGTCTATAAGTAAAACGTACTCACACTGGACCTTTTGACAACCGCATAAATATTTTACTGCGTTAAATATGACAAAAGTTTCAGCAGCCTGTGACCACTCACTAACCAGAGGCTCAACTGGTGTGCTTTAAGTTTTCATACGGTCACATTGTTGTAATAAGGTCGAATCATGTTACAAGGTTTTAACCCAAGTTCAGTAACATTCTTCTACAGTTAAGAGTCCAGAAACTTCATATGAGCACTCAAAAGGAGACAATTGATCTATTTTCAACACAAACAACTTATTCCTAACATTTGATAGGTTAACGCATTGATTAATTAATATGTTACTTTGTCACTTGTGTGTCCATTGAACAGGTCACAATTTACAATCGTCTTTCCTTCGAGAGATCGATGGAGGTTGGATGTCTGCAAGCTTGTATTCTGTGTCTGTCTTGGCATTTTCTTGACAGCTTGAGTAAATGCAAACTAGTTAGTTTAATGCTCCTTCAGTCACAGTCTGCAGCACTCTCTCTGCAATCCTGCATTTGTAGGCTTAATAACTCGGTTGAAGTAGGTGTCGGCAGAGAAAAACCGTTCTCAGCGCCTTCAGGAAAGCAAATGGAGTCTTTTGGGGAAAACAAAACGGTCGCGCTTTTTTTTTTGGAGAGGTGCGAGGATCTTAAAGGAGCCCTGTTTCCGTGGAAAATGTTAAGCAGACCTTTAAAAAGAAAAAAAGTGTCAGACAGCAACATTGAAATAGTGGGACTTTTTTGCCTGGGGACGAGTGAATGAAAGACTTGCTACTTATTCATCAAATTAGTTTTGCCTGGGAGCGAAACTAATCAATTCAATCCGCTTATACTCTCCAAATATAATTAGGAGCAGAGGTTCTTATTAAATGATATGTGTTGTCTTGGAGATAAAGTGTAGACTTTGGGATTCTCGATCTCTCCACAACAACCTGGAGTATCCTTATAAATATTAACACCTGCCACCTCCCCAGTGCTGTAATCGCTAACATTCTGTTAAACCATAAGATATGGGAGCAGAATTAGATCATTCAGCCTATTGAGTCTGCTCTGCCATTCGATCATGGTTGATAGGTTTTTTAACTGCATCCTCCTGCCTTCTCCCCATAACCTTTGATCCCTGACTAATCGAGAACCAACCTAATAAATATACTTAATAACTTGGCCTCAACAGCCTCCTGCGGCAACGGGCTCCACAGATTCACCATCCTCTGGCTGAAGAAATTCCTCCTGATCTCAGACCTAAGGGTCATCCTGTCACCTGAGGCTGTGCCGTCGGGTCCTAGTCTCTCCTAGGGGAAACATCTTCTCCATGTCAACTCTATCCTCTCAGTATTCTGTAAGTTTCAATGAGATCCTCCCCCTCATCCTTCTAAACTCTGTAGAGTACAGACCCAAAGCCCTCAACCTTAACCTTAAGATAATTCTGAACTAGGTCTCCTAAGTCTCTTTGTGCTTCTGATTTGCAAAGCCTTTTCCCATTTAGAAAATCATCTACATCTCTTTTATTCCTTCCAAAATACATAACCTGACACTTTCTCATATTATTCCATTTGCCACTTCTTTCCCCGCCATCCTAGCCTATCCAAGTCCTTCAGCAGCCTCCCTGCTTCATCAATACTATCTGACTTGGGCAGTAATTAAACAACATTCCCATTTTTAAGTTCATCTTCCGTTCTTAATAGTACAACATCGCCAATATGGCCCTGTTTACATGAACAGTGATTTGTGTCTGTATTATGTATTGAATTTTGTCAAGAGATAATGCATTTCTATATTATTGTCTAATTAAATGACTTGCTTTTATATGGTTTTCAGAGACATAGCTGTTGACAAGAACCAATGCAGTGCCAACTTATTCCCAGTAGTAAGCCTGCTGATGATATGTCACTTATCACAAGGTTGCTTGAGGAAGGAATGTTTGCTTGGAATTCTAACATTTTTGATCCTGCACCCTAAATTACTCTTCCTATTGCTCAATCATAACATGTGACTTTCTGAGGCAAAAAGTTAAGTGTTGAATTTCCACTTCACAATGCAAATCTAGTTAATATTCCACTGCAGTCCTGAGGAAGTGTTGAATTATTAGACATGCTGTCTTTAGGATCAGTTAATAAAGCCAGGTCCTGCCTACCCCTGTAGATTGACACCCTCTTTATCCTTCTAACAACACTAAAGTAGATGATCTTGTCATTATCACATTACTGTTTGTGGGATCTTACTATGCACAAATGGCAACTGTGTTTTACACATTACAATACTGAGTTTGTAATTGCCTACTTTAATTGGCTGAAAAATGCTTTGTGACATCCTGATGATGCTAAAGAACAAATTCTTTCTTCCTTTCTTTAGATATGTGTGGAATCACAGGAGATGGGGGAGATACTAAACGAGTATTTTGCATCAGTGTTTACTGTTGAGAAGGATATGGAAGTTAGAGGACTTGGGGAAATAAAAAGTGACTTCTTGCAAAATGTCCATATTACAGTGTAGGAGGTTATGGACATCTTAAAATGCATAAAGGTGGATAAGTCCCTGGGACCTGATCAGGTGTATCCTAACACTGTGGGAAGCTAGAGAAGTGATTGCTGGGCCCCTTGCTGAGATATTTGTATCATTGATAGCCACAGGTCAGGTGCCAGAAGACTGGAGGTTGGCTAATGTGGTGCCACTATTTAAGAAAGGTGGTAAGGAAAAGCTACAGACCAGTGAGCCTGACATCGGTGGTGGGCACGTTGTTAGAGGAGATCGTGAGGGACAGGATTTACATGTATTTAGAAAGGCAAGGACTGATTAGGGATAGTCTAGATGGATTTGTGCATGAGAAATCATGTCACATTAATTTAATTAAGTTTTATGAAGAAGTAACGAAGAGGATTGATGAAGGCAGAGCAGTGGACGTGATCTGTATGGACATCAGTAAGGCATTCGACAAGGTTCCGCATGGTAGACTGGTTAGCAAGGTTAGATCACATGGAATACAGGGAGAACTAGCCCTTTCGATACGGAACTGTCTCCAATGTAGGAGACAGAAGGTGGTAGTGGAGGGTTGTTTTTCAGTTTGGAGACCTGTGACGGTGGTGTGCCAAAAGGATCGGTGCTGGGTCCACTGCTTTTCTTCATTTGCATAAATGATTTGGATGTGAACACAGGAGGTATGGTTAGCAAGTCTGCAGATGATACCAAAATTGGAGGTGCAGTGGACAGCGAAGGTTACCTCAGAGTACAACAGGACCTTGATCAGATGGGCCAATGGGCCGAGAAGTGGCACATGGACTTTATGTAAGGTACATCATTTTGGAAAGGCAAATCAGGGCAGGACTTATACATTGAATAGTAAAGTTCTTGGGAGTGTTGCTGAACAAAGACCTTGGAGTGCAGGTTCATAGTTCCTTGAAAGTGGAGTCGTAAGTAGACAGAGCAGTGAAGGCGGTGTTTGGTACGCTTGCCTTTATTGGTCAGTGCGTTGAGTATAGGAGTTGACATTTAGACTGTTGCAACTGTTGCATTGCTTCAGTACTTTTGGAGTATTGCATGTAAAACTGGCCTCCCTGCTATAGGAAGGATGTTGTGAAACTTGAAAGGGTTCAGAAAAGACTTACAAGGATATTGCAAGGGTTGGAGGGTTTAAGCTATAGGGAGAGGCTGAATAGGCTGCGGCTATTTTCCCTGGAGCATCAGAGACTGAGGGGTGATCTTATAGAAGTTTAGAACATCATGAGGGGCATAGATAGGGTGAATAGCCGAGACCTTTTATCCCCAGGGTAGCGGAGTCCAAAACTAGAGGGAATAGCTTTAAGGTGAGAGGGGAAAGATGTAAAAGTGACCTAAGGGGCAACTTTTTCACACAGAAGGTGGTGCATCTATGGAACAACCTGCCAGAGGAAGTGCTGAAGTCTGGATATGTGAATAGGAAGGGGTTAGAGGGATATGGGCCAAATGCTGGCAAATGGGACTAGATTAATTTAAGATATCTGGTCAGCATGGATCAGTTGGACCGAAGGGTCTGTTTCCGTGCTGTACAGCTCTATGACTCTATATCCCAGGATTAAAACGGAATATTATTTAGTTAATGTAATTCAGTTTTTATCCCCTGCATCTTCATAGAGCAATCCTATACTATTTGAGGCTTACTGGATAGGAATTAAAGTCAGACAAAGACACACAGCCCTCCAGTCAAGGATGTCTCTGTGAGAGCACAGGATCACCAGAAAAAAATACTTTTATTAGGCTAACATCTCCAGCTGCCCAGCTTGAATTCAGTAATTGGTTTGCTTAGCTGCTTCAGAGGGTGATTAGTAATCAATTGCATTGGACTGGAATCACACGTGATTTCTTCCATAATGGCAATTAATGGATTAGATGTTTTTTGGATTGAAAATTTCAAATTGCAATGATAGGATCTGAATGTATATCTCCAAATAATTTACTAAGAAAATGTATGGTGGTGTTTTCATGAAGATAAGGTAGTTGTAGCATGTTTGTTATACGTGCAAAATAAATTTGAATTTCATGAAGATTATGAGTAAAAAAAGTCTAAAAGGTGAGATGACTGTTGTGATATTCCATATAGGGTATTTGTGTTTAGCCACTCTTAAAGATAAGAGGAAGAGGTGAATTGAATGATTTTATTTTTATCATCTTCTGTTCATAAGTTGAGATTTGTAAACAAAAAAATTCTTATTTCTTTTCTATTTTGAAACAAACAGTGTCTCTTCAACTTTGTCAAGTATCAAGTTCAATTTTTAAAAGGCTCACAACAAAGTTGCTTTAGGCTTTGAAACAGAAGTGTGGCATAGTCGTGCATTGAAATCTGGGAAATGTTTGTCACAGCACACACGTACAAGAACCTTCACTGGATATTAATTTGTTTGTTTTTCTTTAACCTGAGTCCAGAAAATCAATATCTTTCTCAATGAGCTTATATT